TTGCACATCTCTAATGTTGCTGCTTTACAGTACAGTATTTTATTGGTTGTGTTTTAACTCTTCACTATTATGTTATTCTTACACATTTTTTCTAAGGTACACATTTGTGTGACAAATTTTCTATAATATTTTTGTTGCTGTAAACATTGTGGGACAATAAAGGGATTTTCTATTCTATTCTATTCTATTTTATTCAAGATAGCATGTGCATTCTCCCATTCCTGATTATTAAACATGCAGTGCAGATCTAGTAACCTTTGGCAAACATGTATTTCTCTTATGAATCATCCCTGAAAAACACTTCATTTTTTGCTTTGACAAATAATCTAGTTATATAATAAGTTGCATTAAAATAAAAAAAATGTTTTCATGGAGTGCTTCTAGAAAAAATATTTGGAGATTAAGTCTGTATGAAAACTTTTTTGTTATAAAAATATTTTCAGTTTGTAGCACATTAAGCAACAATGCTAATGCAAACCAAAACTGACAATGGTCATTTTGACTGTTATGTTGGAAATTTGCTACATATTTAAATTTCGTCTTTTTGAGCAACAGTAAAAGTAAACCCTCACCTTAATTAGGTATCTACTTAAAGACCTTTCACCTATGCTGCTGGAGATAGGCACCAGCCTCACTGCCACCCTGATGGATTAAGTGGGAGAAGATTCTTCTCCAACCTCAAGAATGAAGATTATTCTATTGATGCTAGTAACACAAAAAGAAAACTTTAGATCTAAGCTAAAATACAATGTTCTGTGCCGTCTAATTAGATCCATTGGTACAGTGTTGCAAAAATAACTCAAAACCATTGAATTACAAATGAGGAAATAAATTCATTTCTCTTTTGTATTTGTTTAGGTTGTTTAGGTTGTTATCTACTATGTACATCTATTAAATAATAGCATTGCCTTTAAAAAAGGCTTCTGACTCTCCAGAAAGCAAATCTAACAGGTTAAAACATGAATACATTGTAAGACAAGTATTTTTTTTTTGCTTTCCAAAAAAACCCCCAATAAATATTACATTCCAATAGTTTTAAGGCCCTAATAATAATTTTTTTCCACTGTATATTATAACGTTTAAGTACCATTGGTAATGTTTGTATCATTTGTTCAATTCAAGCAAGCAACCCACTTTTTTTTTTTGTTTAAATTCAGCTTTATCTTCTTATTTTTCGAAAATCATACTTTGCCATATGCTGTGTTATAATTGTCTCTGCTCCACTCCTGTTTACGCTTTTTTTCTTATCATGTGGGTGTTTATATGTGTCTGTCTGCGTCTGCAGTTTGGCACCTTTTCTGCAGTGTTGGCCAACAACAGATGGCATCTCCATGTGGTTCCTGTCTCTTGTCTTGCATTTCCTCATCGAGGGTTCTGCAGAACGTTGATCTGCTTTGAAAGTGACACTTCTAAAATGTTTTTCCGTCTGTTTGCTTGAAAGCCTGACATGGAGATGGCCAAGTATCACCTCTCTTTTCTTAGCAACATATTTAAAGACAAAAGCTTTTCAATGAACCTCTGCATAGCTACATTTGATGTGGTTTTTTACTGAAAAATTATCCTTTTGTTCATGTGCTTGTAAGATAATGTTAGACAGCTGCTGGTTATAGTACACCAATATAACAAAGCCTGTCAC